AATCAAGGCTATACCTCTGTGATACCACATTCACAAAACCCAATGCCATCTTTGAAATGAGGATCACTGCATTTTATGCTCATCAAAGTGCCGTCGAAGTCACGACCAGCTGCAGATAGATTAAGCTTATGTGTGTCGTCTCGGTGCAGATCCAGAGGGCCACATGTATCCACAAGGTAGAGATGTCGGGTGTTGAAGGCCGTGACGATAGCAATTTCCATTTTTTTTTCATCCCATAACCCCAACAACCCATGGATTGTTGTACCATCAGGACGACGGATTTGAACCTGCAGTGAGGAAAGCCTCAGTACAACATTACTACAGAATGATGATGAATCATCGATCATTTCATAGCAGAGGAAAACAATAAGTTGCACTAACCACAAAATCATCATCTCTGGTTCTGTTATTCTCAAATTCCACCACCAAACGTGAGCTAGTCACAAATACTGTATGGGGTGCTTGTATTTTTTTTTTTTGAGGGAAACAGCAGGACTCTGCTGCGTATTTTTATTGATTTTAAAAAAAAATAGTACAAAGAATAAGGTCTGAAGAAAAGAAAACAAACTATACATCGAAGATACAAATATGGGGTGCTTGTATTATATTGTTCCAGTGTCGTACGGCTGTTCCGGAGCATGCAAATACTATCTTTTCGCCCGTACAAATTAAGATCACGACTAAAATCAGTAAGATGAATGAATATGAATTTGGAGAGAATAAGCAGAATAATCACCCTGGAGCAGAGCAATTGAGACAACACTGTGGCTGAAACGCGAATCTGAAATTTCCTGGACGCAGCCACCAAATTTTGTGGGTTTGAATGGAGTAACATGTCGGTCAGGTTCCTTTTCCCTGGAGAACTGTTCCTTAGCTCGAGCCTGCTCTATGATAGCTTTCCGAACTAATTAAAGAACGTGCATGATAAACCACTAGATCATCAGTACTCTAGCAAGCAACTAACATAGTAACATTTAGAAGAAATCGGTGAAAAAATCAGCAGCAAGAAAGCTCATATATCGGTCAATGACTTACCTTTCCACTTCTTCATCGCAGCTTCGGTTGCCCTCACCCCAGACCACTTGCCACTGTTGCTGCCTTCCTACTGGTTTTTGCAGTCCTGAAACACAGCACATACATATATCTGAGATAATATGCTTGCCAAAATCAGAGTATTTAACAAAAAACTATCACATTTCGTGAAACCGTGGCTACAAACTACCACTTTACAAATTTGTGCCGAAACTACAACTTTTTGACTAATTTTTCCAAAAACACTAATTTCTGCCTCATGGCAGTTTGCTGAAATTAAATATGATTATGACAGGGCTGGCCCACACGTAGGCGCTGACATGGCACAGTGGTCAACTCCCAGGCTGTGCCGCGCGGGAGATGCACGCGAGCCACGCACCGTGCCCGCCCCCACTGCCGGCCAGCAAGCAACGCTACCTGCGCCATCCATCGGTCGAAGCCAGCGCCGTGTGCTAGCTAGCCGGCCAATGGAGCGTTGCGGGCGTGCTAGCATGCAGCCGTAGCCTCGCGTGCACTGTGCTGGCTTTTGCATGCTAGCTTGTGTGCGTGCGCAGCCGTGCGCGTAGCCGCCGTCCTCCGCGAGCGTGTGCGCCATCCGCCGCTCGCGCCACCCGCCGCTCCGCCCAGCCCGCGTCACCCGCCGCTCTGCCCCGTCGGCCGGCGAGCCCCGCCACCTGCGCCGCCTTCCCTCCTAGCCGAGCCGCCTGCTCGCCTCGGCCATGGCGGCCGCCATCGTGCCAAGGCCTGGCCACCCCCCGCTCGGCCCTGCCGACCGACGCCCCCGCCTTTGCACCTCGTGTACGCCATCGACTGGGAGGCTAGCGCCGGAGAGGTGCTTCACCGGGGCGTCGCAATGGAGAAGAGCGCGGAATGCATATGTGGTGTTCGAGGAAATGCCAGAGAGAGAGAGAGGAGGAGGAGGAAGAAGATTGATGCTGACAAGTGGGCCCATCTTGTCAGAAAGGCATTCATAAGAGGTGAATCGGTCGCTTTCCCGACATGGCAGTTTTTAGTCAAAGATTAGTCAAAAATGGTAGCTTTCAGCATAAATTTAGAAAGTGGTAGTTTATAGGCGCAGTTCCGCGAAATGTGGTAGTTTTTTGTTAATACTCCCAAAATCACAGTGTTGCATAGGTCGAAAACCAAATCTGAGATAATATGATTGCAAAAATCACAGTGTTGCATACATCGAGAATCAAAGAGTTATTTAAAAGGTAACTTAGAAATCCAAATCCAAACAGCTGGTATATCAACTTAATTGTTGCTGTGATTAGAGGGGGGTGGACTGCGAATCTGCGATTGACAGATAAAAACAGTATACGTAGAAGGGAAGGGAAGAGACTGGTCATGAGGAAATAGAAGACACTCACGTCGCGCAAACTATCCTAGCTGATTCCGTGCGTCGAGCTTAGCCGGGAAGGAACATCGGCAGTTCGCCCGTCTGCAGTGGATTGCGGATAATGCCCTCCCGGTCCCGGCTAGGGTTACGCGCTTGGGGAAAAGGTTGGCTGCTCTCTTTATATATACACGTACGTATCTCTTTGGGGCGGTTTACGCAATCAGACCACAATTTTTTTTTTTAGACAAACGCAATCAGACCACATATTGGTTAGGGTTTGTCAATTGTCATCATGGATCCTATGGAGGGATGCCGGCGGCCCGAAACTGCACAATGCGGGTCGATGGAGAGCGGTCCTGTTTTCCGTGACCAACGCGCTCCAGACCGGCAAGTGGTGACGGCGAGCGGCGGCAGGAGGCCATGACCACGAGCCTCTCTGTTCAGTTTTTTTTTTTTTGAGGGGTTCCTCTATGTTCAGTTTGGCCAGAGAAATCAGTGACAACTAATTGTCGCAGATTTAATACAAATTATACTAAATCTGTGACAACTAATATTGATCGGAGGGAGTAGTACATTTGAAAGAAAAATGTTCATCATCTTTAGTTTTGTTTACACATTTAAAAAAACATTCATGATATTTTTTTAAATGTTTGTGCATTGTTAAAAAAATGGCCCTACCATAAAAAGAAAATATTGACCCATTTCAAAATATGGTGGTGCTATTTTAAAATATGATTATATAATGTAAAAAATGTTTGCATGATTTTAAAAAATAATGCTTTGTACCATTCGAAAATTGTTCATGTCATCTAAAACAAGCTTACACATTTCGAATATGTTCGTGAGTTTTTATAAAATATTTTAAAATGTAAAAAATATTCATGTGTTGTTTAAAAAATGATCCATACCATTTATTTAAAAAAGGTCAGATTGAAACATGATCTTATCTGGGCAAGTAAAAAGCTTCACGCAGTAAAAAGGATGCATGTAGGCGGCCCAGTGGCGGAGACAGGGGAACATCATGTATTTGCTGCATATTGTGGGGACCTTTTCTGGCTCAGGTACTTTGGCTTAGCCCGAACGCTGCGAACAGTGATGTGTGTTTTGGCGTTGCCTTATCTCTTATATCTAAAAAACTAGTCCCACTAACTATTTATCTTAACATGCAAGTATGCCACATCATCGCACAACATGCATGAGAAAAGACCCATCCTCACTATCATATATCTCTCAACATGCAAGCATGCCACTTTATCATGACATGCATGAAAAACAGACGCATCTCAACATGCAAATATACATGAATATTTCCATTCTATTATGCTATGTATATTTAATAAAATATTTACAACTACATAGTAATCAAACATAAATAAATTATATGTATTTTTAGTTTTAGCTTTTTATATTATTACTTTAAATATTCATGTTTCATACAATGAATCACATAGAAATATATTGCAAAATAGTCCCGCAACAATGTGCGAGAATATCATCTAGTTTCATAAAACGGGGTTGGCCTAAAATAATAACAAAATAAGGCGGGAAACCCCATCTCTTAAAACAAAAGTGCTTAAGCATGAAGAAAGAGAGACTAATATGGATGCTCACAATACTGCCAGGAATTGGCCGCCGCTTGTTCTAGGTTGACATGTTTGGCTTTGGGAGCCCTCGCTGGTGTGTCCGGCTCATATGTACACAATATATTACTCTTTGTTTATTTCTTACTTTTCAGAAACTTTTTTTTAACATTAGTACAGACACAAGCGCTCATATACACACGCATACACTCACCTCTATGAACGCACACACGCACACCCTACCCCTATGAGCACCTCCGAAAGACTGAGCCGGCATATCATCTTTAAATTTACGAAGTCGCCGTAGGCGCCTCGTCGTCGACGGGAACGTCTCCTCCCACTAAATGCGCATCACCGGAAATCCTGAAATAAATCCAGGAATAAATACGAGCACCAGGATTTGAACCCTGGTGGGCTGGGGATACCACAGTCCCTCTAACCATCCAACCACAGGTTGGTTCGCTACTTTTCAGAAACATTGGTTACAACGCAGACACATCTCATCCCACCACACTTCACATACTCACAGAACACCTATGAAAGATGAGTCAAAGTTGTCGAGCTTGAAGATTGACCAAGTCATCACGGGCATCATGGCATCGACAAAAACGTGGATGGCATCGACAAAAACGTGGTCTTCAATTGAATGGATAATCCACACTAATGAGATACCAAAGTATTATAGTTGGAGCTTAATCTTTGATTGGCTGAGAGTATCACTGGCCACCTAACCATTCGAGCGCTTTAGAGGGTGTTTGTTTCCTGGGAATTAAAGTCTCTATAAGTCCCATCTAAACCAAACAAGAGGGATTTATAGTGATTTAAAGTGGGCATTTGGGACTTATGAAATAAGACTCTCAAGGAGGGACTTATAGTTGTAATATGGTCATTTAGTCCACGTTAAGTCCCAGAAACCAAATAGATAGGAACATTTTAGGGATTTGGGACTAAAAAAGGTCTAGGACTTATGAATCAAACAGGGCCTTAGTTCTCTTATCTTATGTATATAACAGGTATATACATCCAGACGCGTCGTCGCAGAAGCTAGATTAGAACGAGATGAAAGAATTGGCCATGTCGTACTTCATCTTCTCCAGGTTGGGCGTGATGGCGAACTTGATCATGGGCGGCGGCCCGCAAGCGAGCGCGAAGGTGTCGTCGCCGCCCTCCGGCACGTGCGCGCGTAGAATGTCCTCCCTCACATGCCCGACGCTGAACTTCCAGCCTTCCTCCGGCCGTTTCACCTGGTCTACCACGTACCACACCTTGAGCTTGTCCGGGTGCTCCGCCGCCCACCGGTCCAGCTCGTCGCGCAGCAGGATGTCGTCCTCCGTCCGGTTCGCGTACACAAGGTGCATCTCCGTCTTGTCCTCCGGCTGGTCGCGGAGCACGGCCTGGATCACCTGGTACATGGGCGTGATCCCGCTCCCGCCGCAGATCATTGCCAGGCGTCGCGCTCGCCGCTGCTTGCCGCCGATCATGAAGCTGCCGCGGCCGGTGTACTCCACTTGGCCGAGAGGCCCCTTGACCTCAATGTGGGAGCTGCCTACCTGAAGCGATTCCAGGTACTGTGTCATGAGCCCACCGTCGGGGAACTTGGGGTGCTCGTTCTTGAAGTACACCTTGACCAGGAGCTCGAACTGGCCGACCTCGTCGACCATGCTCGTTGGCGTGTACGGGCGCATGCACAGCTTCCCCCCGATGTTGGCGCACACGAAGATGTGCTTGCCGACTGGTAGGCCGAGCACCTGGTCGGAGGACGGCAGCGCGAAGCGGAACAGTCGGACGTCACGGGAGAGCTCCTTCTTGTCGACGAGGCGGCAGCGGATCTTCTCACGCGGGCTTGAGAGCGCGATGGGTGCGGCGGCGGCCTTGGTAGCCTCGCGGATAGGGGCGAGAGAGGAGCCTCCATGGACGGAGTTGTCAGAGTTATAGCCAGCGCCAGTGGTGATGAGTTGGCCAATGCGGTGCGTGTCGAGGAGCGACTTTGCCTTGTCGGAGTGGATGGCGTCGAACTCCTCGGTGCAGTCCGCGCCGGCGTTGATGAGGATGCTGTCGGCACCGCCCGGATGGTCCTTGAGGAAGGCGGTGCAGTCGTAGACGTGTCCGTGGACGACGATCCATGCCGAGTCCTGCGACCCGTGCTTGCGCACCTCGGACATGGTGAACTGCTTGTCGTCGGTGGTGTGAATGAAGGGCGTGGACGTGCTCCGCTTGAGCCCCGGTGCAGCGGTCTCCATGTGCTTCTGCCGCGCCATCCACCCGCCCGTCTGGTTGGCTGGCTGCGTCGGGTGCTCGAACACCAGACCGATCTCCCTCTTGTGCGGCCGGCACACGTTCACCTTCACCTTGAACCAGCAGTTGTTCATCATCCCCTGCAATCATGTCATGTGTACAAAAACATTAGGATTAGTAAAGTCACACCCTCGAATCAATCGCATTTGCAAAGGCCACGATGCCATGGATGGACACATGTGAATGCAGGGTACATTACATACCATGAGGTTCCATATGAGCTTCTCGGGCTGGGTGTTCTGCGCCTGGTCCCAGGCGCGCACCGCCACCTCCTTGGCGCCGAGGAGATCGAGGACCTCGACATCGACGGACCAGAAGCACCAGCACCAGTACCTGCCATATTTGTTGGGTTTCTCCGGGATGTCGAGCGTGCACAACATCCATGTCTCGCCCCCGTCCAGCGTCACCTCCACTCTTATGATCTTCTTGCCACCACCTTTAAGACGCAACAACAAGAAAAAGAGTTGTCAGAAATATGATTAATTACACTCACAAGAAATTAAGACTACTTAACAACACACCTGGTTCTTAATACGTAGTAGTATGACTTGCTATATTCGATTATGTGTAGTTGTAGCAATTTTTATTGAATATAAGTAGGATAATAATTAAAAAAATCTCATGCGTGGTTGAAAGCATGATTGCATGTTGAGGTGAGACTTATCTCATTCATAATTGGATGGTGAGGTAGCATGTTTGTATGTTGAGATCAATATATTAGTGAGGATGAATAGATTGGATGGATGCTAATGAAGGTTCATTTAGTTCGAAAATATAAGGTTTATCAATTTTATTATACTTCATTAGTTTAAAATTATTTGAACTTTCATATTTATCCTAAGTTGAACTTTTTGAAGTTTGACCAAGTCTACGGAAAAGTATCGACAACACCAAACTGGTTTCATTAGATTCATCATAAAATCTATTTTCATACTATATATATGGAAAGTCATGGATATCGATAAATTTTGCTATAAGCCTGGTCAAACCCAAAAGATGTTTGACTTGGGATAAAGCTATAGAACTTCAAATATTATGGAACAACTCGGTATCTTCTATATAGAGTATACGATTCTCCGCGTGTTGCAGCAGGAATTTGACATTTTATTTTTAAATATTGTTACTTATTCTGTCCTTACGATTTAAATAATATGAGAAAATTCTGCATAAGAAAAATAAATCTTAACATGAAAAGCTGTGATTATCACAATTAAATGCATTGTGATTTAAAACTTGCTTAGAATACACAATTGCATGTTGCATGGTATATGATTCTCATGCATAGATTGGATGGATGAGAGTGGATCAAACTAATAAATCTAACAACTATCGTAGTTTTCATGACTTGAAAGTACACGTGTTGAGCTAATTAGTAGTGGGATCACTCTCTTAGGTAAATAGAATATCTTATGCCAGCTCAATATGGTTGAAGAATTTCAAGAAGATAGCTAGTCAATCTCACTTACAGGTATACGAGTATTATGATTATCTAATCTCAACAATATGCATAATATTCTCATTCTGGAATTGGAACTGAAAAGTCAAACATCTCTAACAAGTTTATAGAGAGAAATATCAATATCTAAGATGTCAAATCAATGTCATTACATTGATTACTAAATTTATTTTTATATTTTGTTTATTTAGTATTGTATGCTAATAACTTGGTATATTTTGCTCTAAACTTAGTCAAACATAAAAACATTTGACTTTAGTTTTTTAATCTATACACCTTATATACTCTTAGAATAGATTCCCTTATTTAGAAACTAGATTCCCTTCCCGGTCCGTGATAAATTTTGCTACAAACTTGGTCAAACCCAAAAGATGTTTGATTCAGGACAAAGTTAGAACTTCAAATGTTTTGGAATGATGGAGTATCATCTATATAGACTATACGATTCCCCGCGTGTTGCAGCGGAATTGGATATATAATTTCTAAATAGTGTGTACTAATTTGGTCCTTATGATTTAAAAAAATATGAGAAATTTCCGCATAAGAAAAATAAATCTTAACATGAAAAGTTGTGTTTGTCACAATTAAATACAGTGTGATTTAAGCCTTCTTACAATACTAATGCATGTTGCATGGTATATGATTCCCATGTATAGATTGGACAGATGTTAGTGGATCAAACTAGTAAATGTAACGACTATCATAGTTTTGATGACGTGGAAGTACACCGCGTTGAGATAATTAGTGGGATCACTCTTTTAGATAGATAGGATGTCGTATATGCCAGCTCAATATGGATGAAGAATTTCAAGAAGATAGTCAATCTCACTAGCTAACAGGTAGTATAAAGGTATTATGATTATCTAATCTTCAACAATATGTGTAATATCCCCATTCTCGAATTGGAACCGAAAAGTCAAACATCTCTAACAAGTTTATAGATAGAAATATCAATACTATCTAATAAGATGTCAAAGGCATGAATGGTGCACGGACGACTCACCGGCGTAGGCGTATCCTTTCATGGTGTAGGCGCGCTGCGTGGTGAAGGCGTTGATGGGAAGGATCTCGTCGTGCCCGGGCGTGGTGATCACCGAGTTCGTGTTGAGCTCGTTGATGATGTACTCCGGCTTGTACCACCACGCCTGCGCGTCGGCGAGCTCGGCGTCGACGTGCGACGGCAGGACGCGGTTGTCCTTGAAGTGGTAGTAGTTGTCGGACTCGGCGCCGGTGACGACGATGCGCGTGAGCCACTTGACCATGCGGCCGCCGATGCAGCCCGGGATGATGACGCGCACCGGGAAGCCGTGGTCCGGCAGCAGCGGCTCGCCGTTCTGCGCGTAGGCGAGCATGATGTCCCTGGAAGGGTCCAGCGCCCACTCGCGCGTGACGCTGGTGCCGTACTTGGCGCCGCCGCCGCCGCCGGGGAGGTCCTCCGCGCCCACGAAGCACACGTGGAGCGCTGCGCGGCGGCCCTTCTTGATGCCGCACCGGCGCAGGACGTCGCGGAGGCGCGCTCCGCGCCACACGGAGGTGGACACGCCCGCGGCGCCCCAGTTGAACCCGGCCGTCTGCCGCATCATGTTCTGCTCCTTGCGGCGGTTGCCGGCGCAGACGAGAGTGACAGGGAGCTCCGCGGCGGGGAACTCCCGGACCAGCTCGTCCATGGTGAACCGCGCGGGCCGGGTGACGAGGCCGGAGACCTCGACGGTCCAGGTGGACCAGTCGCCGCGGGGCACGGGGCCGTGGTTCCGCACGTAGTGCAGCGGCGCGGGGGTGATGAAGCCGTGGTGCATGAGGCGCGCCAGCGGCGGCTCGCAGTTGAAGGGGTGCTTGCCGGTGAGGCGGATGAGCGACGGGTTGCGCTCCGTCCACGCGTCCGCCGTGCCCTCGTCCCGCGCGTCGCGCACCGGCGGCTCCACCTCCAGCTGCAGCTGCGAGCCGTACAGCTCCCTCCACTCCTCGTGCTCCTCCTCGTCGTCCGACGCCTCTTCCTCCACGCGGGGCGTCCGAGCAAGCTCATCGAGCTCCACAGAAGCGGCCATGTTGTGTTGTTGTTGTTGTTGTTGTTGTTGTTGTTGTTGTTGTTGTTGTTGTTGTTGTTGTTGTTGTTGTTGTTGTTGTTGTTGTTGTTGTTGTTGTTGTTGTGAGACAAGCGTTGCCGCTCTGCTGGTCGGTATACTATATATACACTCGCAACATCTAAATCAGTGACGAAAGATGCCAGCTAATTAATTGCTTCAGGGTTATCCCGTTTGAAACATTCGCCGATCTGACTATTGTATGCACTATGTACGATCCGTGCAGTTCGAGTAAATAGCATAAAGCTACTACTTTACGGGTTAGGGTTCTAAAAAACTACCAAATCCATTTTTTCCTCTGATAACTACCAAATTGGGGGTTGGCTGTTTCAAAGAACCCAAATCATCGAGTTCTTACCAGTTGATCACAATTATGACAATTAGGGCCCACACGTAAGATAACCGTTTGTTTGACCGTCACTTTGACTGTTAACTTACATGTGGGTCCCGTATGTCAGCTTCCTCTTCCTCTCCTCTTTCTTCTTCCTCCTCTCTCCTCTCCTCCTGTCTCCTCTGACCTCTTTCGAGCCAGCAGTCAGCAACCCTCTCCCCTCCGAGCTGGCCATACTCTCCTCCCTCCCAAGCCGCAACGACCCTCCCCTCCCCTCCCTAACCTCTCCATGGCTATAGTAGGAGCTCGCCAGAGCTCCTGGTGTTGGATGTGCCGCCGAGGAGGCATACCAGAGGCCGGCCTGGACCGCGACGGGGTCCCCGCTTTGCGGCGCCTGGAGACTCTGCCATGCGCCTCGGGGCTCTGGCCCGGGTCGCCGCGCGGCCGCGCCGCCTGGAGACTCCGCCATGCGCCTCGGGGCTCTGGCCCGGGTCGCCGCGCGGCCGCGCCTCCTCCCGCTCC